ACAGGCCATGGGTACTTAGTAAGGAGTAGGAAGAATGTGCTTTGGGGCTGGAGTTCACTCCTTGTCCCTCCCTGTCTCGGCATTTTCCTGACAGCTGATCACAAACACACAAATGGACTCTTCTAGTCACACAGCAGCTCCTGACTTGGTGGAAATGGCCAGAGAGGCTGCTTGATTTGCTCAAGCTCAGGGTGATGTTAGGGAATCAACGTGTAACTTAGGAAAATAGCCGTTTCAGAAGAAAAAAGGATCTTTGCCCTTTCTCTCAACTATTTCCTATGATCCACCATAGTTTTGTCTATTGGGTTTCTTTTCTTTTTTCCATCAAGTATTGGTTGAGTTCACAGCTATCATGGACAGGATGGTTTTTGTCTCAGAAGCCAAAGCCAAGCTTCTTGAAGAGGGTACTCAGTGATGGTTATAGATTACTCACTGATGGCCTTAACTACAGTTCCATAGAAACCCATGTCATGGGGTGTTAAGGATTGGGCAAGAGCTAATACATATTAGTGCCTTCTCTGTCCCAAGTTAGACACTTTCTCTACATTTTCTCAAACCTTCAAAATAATGCTGGATGTAGATTCAACTGTCCCCATTTTACAAATGACGAAACAGAGGCTCAGAAAGCCTGGGTGACCTCGCCAAGGCTGCACAGAGAGTGAGTGACTGCTGGGGGCTGAACCAGGTGATCTCCTGTCCTTCTACCAGTGTGCCCTTTCCACCACATCCATCAACCCCCTATCATTAAAAAAAAGAAAAGAAAAAACCAGCCTTCCGAATACATAAGAAGGCAGTGTTATTTCGGTGATAAAGCAAGCATGTGAATGTTAATAAGACCTTTATCCTCTTTGTTAATAGATTATTAAACAAGGTTAATATTACTGTGATAGAGGGGGAAAAACATCCATCAAAATGCCCCCAGAGGCCACGTGCATACGATGCCAAAACACCAGGATGGAAAGGGAGAACGTTGCCTGGCATTCGGCTGTTTTGCTTAACTGGTGCCAAACATATGGACAGAGTAACGGGTGTGCAAACCGTCCCCGAGACTGCGCACACGGAGGGATTCCTAGCCGAATGTGGTGTCGATGAACCACCATAGCGGAGCACAGGGCTCCGGTTCGTTTGCGGGATCTTGGATGTAATAACTTGTGATCATATTTGAATTCTCTCTTTGTGTGGCCCGCTGCTTATCACAGGAGGGTCATAAAGCTGAACAGCTAACTGGGGATGTGACGAAGAAAAATAGAGGAAAGGATTAAAGAGCTCTGCCATGTGCTGGCAAGCCCTGGGTGGAGGAATGTTAGGCGGAGAGCAGGCTTCTATCTTGTGTAAAGAGCCCAGAACTTGATTCAGAGGCCCTGGCTGACACCCTACTCAACCACTTGCCCCCTCTGTGATCGGGGCAAGTGCTGCACTTCTCTAAGCAATAGATTACTCTGTAAGTCTGGAGCCAAGAAGAGTTTATGTTTTCATTCGTTTTGTTTGGCGGTAGGTTTGACTGATAAAATTACTTCTCTAAGCCCCAGTTTCTACATCTATAAAATGAGGGTAATATGACCTACCTCAAAATGCTTTTTCTTGTGCGCACTAAAGAGAAGAAACGTGATTAACCCTGGATGAGATGCAAAATATGGGATCTAGGGCTGGCTGAGTGGCTCAGTTGGTTAAGAGCTCGCTCAAGAGTTTGAGCTCTGAGCAACAGCGGTTCGAGTCCAGCCTGAGCTGAGCAGCCGCTGAGCTGCCAATAGGTAGCAGGATGGCTCAGCTAAAAAAAACAAATAAACAAACAAAATATGGGATCTAACATAGATAGCTGTCAGTATTATGGCACCATTTTGAAAGATGACAATGACAGCACTACTTAGCACTAACTGTGAAGAAGAATTTGAATTTACAGAATAGCAACAGCCACCATGGAAGGGATTGCCAATAACTCATTAAGGAGAGATGCAGAAATGGGAGATTTTTGCTGTTGCTAACTGATAGCCCTCCCCACCAAAGTACCTAGGAGCCTACTATTCCTTTTTTCACGTATCTGCGAAGAAGGCATCTGAACCAGAAGCGAAGCTAACATGATTCTGATAGGTTACTTTGCTTGAATCTGCCCAAACAGGGAAGCAGTGCTCAGAGTTTCCAGGCCAGTGTTTCAGAGTGGGGTGTATGAACCACAGATATCTGAATAACTGGAGGGCTTGGGGAAAATGCAGATTCTCAGGTTCTAATGAGTCACTGCCCAAAAGGAATCTAGAAATCTACAATTTTAAGAAGCCATGCAGGGAGTTCCCCAGCACACTAAAGCTTGAGAAATACTAATCTGAATCGGGGCCTCTAAAAAGGTACGTATGCAGTGATCCTCTAGACCAGAGGTTCTCAACCTTCCTAATTCCACGACCCCTTAATACAGTTCCTCATGTTGTGGTGACCCCCAACCATAAAATTATTTTCATTGCTCCTCTATAACTGGAATTTTGCTACTGTTATGAATCGTAATGTAAATATCTTTTTGTTTTCCGATGGTCTTAGGCGACCCCTGTGAAAGGGTCGTTCGACCCCCAA